GTAAGAGAGAGGCCTCAGGGAGGCACGGGAGTGCCCTACAGCCAGGCCAGGTTCAGGCCCTAGGGGTGACCTTGAGGCTCAGGAAGGCGTCACCTGGGGAAGATCCAGGAAAGAGACCTTGCAGCCACCCGGGAGGGGCCGTCAGGTTGTGCGAGGCCCTGGAGGAGGCCCAGGCCAGCGGAGGCCCAGCAGGAGGGAGGGGGCCTCAGCCTCTGCCCTCGCACAAGGTCCCCACGGTGCTACCAAGTCCAGTGAAGGAAACAGGACAGCCACTGGGGCTACCGCTCCTGCCCCCCAGGTCGAAGTGGCTGAGTGCCCATGTGATGCCTTCCCGGGGGCCAGCGCAGCCCAGGGAGCCGCGGGGGCCCAGCCCTGGGCCTTCATGGAGGAGGGGTGTGCAGAGCTGGAGGAAAGGGCTCTGCGGAGAGGACGGGGGCTGAGGCTGAGCCCAGGGCTCCAGAGCCACGGTGTGAACCTGCGGCCACTGCATGGTGACCACAGACACAGTAGCACCCCTGACTCCTGAAGGAGCAGAGGCCGATAGCTGTGAGGAAGAGGCCAGTAGATGGCAGAGGACACCCGGGCAGGTGGCCAAGCCAGGCCTGGAGGTGGCCCAGGGGTCCCACAGGGACCTGGGCCCACCATGGCAGGAGCAGGCCTGGGACCACCGGTGGCCTGTGGTCATTGACTGGGGCAGCTTTGTACCAGAGATGTCCCCCGTGCCCCTCTGTCTCCACAGGGGTCTACACGGACCTGCATCCAGGGTGAAGGTGGCCAGGAGGAGCCTGAGGACACAGGGCCAAGGGTGTCCAGGTGTCCACGCAGGCCTCCCGGGCAGACCCAGGGAGCGCCGGGGGACGCCTCCCTGCGTCTTCTTCCCTTGACCTTGGGCAGCGATGACCCGTCCAGTTGGCCCCATCCCTAGCCCCGAGGGCAGGGCCCCAGGTGAGGAGAGGACATGGGAAGGGGCACAGGAACTGGGGGCACTGGGCGCCCAGCGCGGGCACATTCAACACGAGCCTCGACCCCGTTGTTTTAAATACGAAATTTATTGCAAATATAGAAATTGGTTCTCTCCATACAGGAATCTCCGAGTTGAGGAAAACGATTTCGTGCCATTCAGTTTAAAACAGGAAATTGGGGGGGGGCAGATGGAGGGAGGAGAAAATAAATGAAGTTGCCCCCCCAAAAGAAGAAAAGGAGAGAGTTCCAGGCCCCGGAGGGAGGGAGGGTCCGTCCACAGCTGGGGCTCCCAGGTCCGGAGGTCAGGGCCTCGAGCCCAGCTCTGCAGGGCTCAAACCAGGTGCCAGGCCACAGCCCCCGGGGCCGGGGCTCCTGAGCGGGGGCTGGGGGAGGGTGGCGCCCCTGCTGCCCGGAGCCCTGCCCCGCCCTGTGCTTGTCTGGCAGAGAATCGGGGCTGGGGGGAAGAGGAGGCCCAGGCCCCCCGCCCCCACGGACCCCTCTTCCGCTCCCTACGGCTCGGCAGGAGTGACTGGCCACACGAGGGACACTGAGACAAGAGGTGGAGAGACCGATGCTGTCCTCGGGGTTGGGGTGGCTCAGGAGGGGGCGTGGCGGGATGGACGTGAGCGTGGGGCTGGGAGGAGGTCCCCTCTCCTGGCTGAGGGGGGCAGAGAGCGGGACCATGGGAGGGACTGGACACGGCCGTGGGGGCCCAACCTTCGCCCTGGCCTTGGTGGGTCAGGCTTCCGTCCTTCGTCCTTCGGGGTCAGACGCCAGAGATGCCCTGCCTTGCTCCACCATCCTCACCCCTGGGAAAGGGCACTGCCAGGCCGGGAACCAGCCAGGGAAGGGGGTGGGGTGACCTAAAGAGGGGCTTCAAGAAGCCACCGCTGCAGCTGGCGCCCACCAGCCCCTTCTCACAGCCACTGGGTCCTCCTGTCAGATAGGGTTTGACTGCCCGTCACCTCCTCCAAGGGACAAGGGACTCTGTCCCTCCCCTCCATCGCCCTCGGTTAATTCTTTGCGTGATGCGACCTCCGGGAAGCAGTTTCCGTCTGTCCCTTCACTGTGTTTGGGCCTCTTAGGAAGGGGCTCCTGACCCTGCGGTCCCCGTCTGGCCCTTCCTGGCCCCTCTCTTTGACTCCTCCCCACTGGGTTTCCTGTGCTTCTGCTTCCCCCAGAGTGGGCACAAGCCACCTCGGATGGGGACACCAGGAGCCTCGGCCACGCTGGCCTTCACCCCCTGCCCAGGGCCTCTCCAGGGCCCCGGGGGCCCACCTGGCCCTCCCACCCCCACGGTCCCCATATCTCCCCAGACAGGGCCCCTGCCTGACACAGCAGCTCCCGGTCCTGTGCCCCCTCCTCCAGGAGGGCCACAGAGCATGGCACCTCTGGGGGACAGAGAGGGACTTTTCCCAAGAGGGAAGACCCTGGCCTGGGGCCCCTGAGGAGGTGTCCACAAGACTCATCTCTTCTGGCCGGATCTCTGCTTTTCATTTCTGGAAGGTCATTAGCTGCAACAGAGAGGTGGCAGTGCCTGCCGTGCCCTTCAGGACAGAGGGCACCTCTGGGTCCCTTCCTGGGGAAGGGTTCACAGGTGGTTCCCAGGTCAGGAGACCCAGGGTGACCTGACTGGGGCTCGAGGCAGGAAGATCCACTGGCCCCCTTTCCCTTCCACGCCCCTCCCCCTCCCAGCGCCACCCCAGCCTGTCCCCACCACGGCCCCTGACCATTGCCATCATAAGCATGGCCCTCGGCCAGGCTCCTGGAATAAATGGTCATTTGTCTTTTGTAAATACTTCAGGCAGGGGCCTCCGGGTGGGCTCCTCCCCACAGGTCCGGCCTGGCAGCTGGGGTTCTGGCTGCTGGGGGACCAGACCTGCCCCTTAGGCCCTGCTCTGCCTCAGAGAACAGTGTCCCGTGGGTCTCCAAGGTCATGTCACCTCCTGGAGCGCCAGGGTCCTGCTGTTGAGATGGGAGCCCATGGGGGAAGGCCTGAGGTCTCAGGGGTCATGGTCCCCAGGACTGATGGCCAGGCTGCTGGCCGCGCTCTCCCTCCCAGGCTCCTCCCTCCCTCCGGGCCCCAAGCCTCTCCATGGAGCCCTGTGCCTAGGCCGCCTGTCCTCAGCAGGGTGACGGCACCTCTCCACGCGGTCAGACCCCAGACCCGGGTTCTCTTCCTGGAGAAGCTGTCTAGGAAAGGCCCTGGGGAGGGGGAGGTGGCCCCAGAGGGACAGGGGGAGGTGGTGAGGCGGCACTTGTGGGCCCCAAGCCCGAGGGATGGGAGGTGGGTGTGGGGCAGGGCTGGGCTTTGGTGGCACCTGTTTTGGGTCTCCTGCAGAGCTGGCCCTCCCTGGGTTTCAAGAGCTGCTCAGATCCCGATGGAGGGACTTGGGGGGGGGGGGCAACGGGACAAACTGGCACATACACAACAGATGTTTGCTCAGAAAAATACAGTAAAATCGTCATGCAGTGTAACAGGGAGCCTGCTTCTCGCCGCCCTCGGCTCGCTCGGCTTTGCCAACTGGGTGTGAGGAGGGTTGGGGGCGAGCTCGGGGCTGGGGTCTGCTCCTACGCTTCCATGCCAGCCCACCCCCTCTTCTCCCCAGGAGAACAGTCTTTTCTTTGCCAATGTCACCCCCAAAGTGAGCTCTGGGCTCAGCCCACCCCCGGAAGTTGATGTGACAGAGGAGGTCAGCTGAGCCCCCTGGTCCTTTCCCAAGCCCACCAGCAGGGGGTGGGTGGAGCCCCCAGGGAAAGTGGCCTTCCTGGTCAGAGCCCCTCCCCCACAGCACAGGCCTTTGTCCCTTGGCACCATCACACCCCCAGTCTCAAGAAGCCCAAACGGGTGACAGGCCAGATCTGGGGGTCTCTGGCAGGGGCGAGGGGGGAGCTGACAGGGCCCCTCGCCATCCCGGGGTGGGTGAGGACAGCTGCCCGGGTCCCCCAGCGCTCCTCCACCTCCAGGGGCCAGCCTCGGCCACAGGACCCCGCCCAGAGTTTGTCCTGGGAAGGCCCTGGCTCTTGAGAGGGGCGGGCCCCTGCCCGGCCCTCCCTCCTGCTCTGCTGCCGCCCACACTCAGCCCCCAGAGCCCCACGGTCTGCTCTGGGCACCGGCTGCCAGGCACCCGGTTGCCATGGAGACGGGCTAGCCGGGGGAGGGGCCGTGGACCCAGCCTGCTCCCCCCCCCACCCCAGGGTGGTGGGGGGAGCTCACTGTTTGTGCTTTGTTCGATGTTGGGTGGGGGTCAGAAGGGGAGTGGCCGTTTCCATGGTAACATGGGGCCCCCTCAGGCTGAGAGATGGGGCAGGGGTGGGGGGGCCCTCCTTCCTCCTTCCTCTGGGTAGGCTGAGTCTCTGCCCTGAGACCCCGTGCTGGGGGTCAGGCAGGGGGGTGCAGGATGCAGGGAGCAGGCGGGAAGCCCCCTTCCGCCTCCCCGCTGTCCCCGGGTGTCACAGTTCACTGCTGCTCCTCTGGGGTGGACAGGGGTCCCGGAGGCCCAGAGAGGCTGGGGCCAGGGGTGTGGAGCCTGCACCTGAGACGCCATGGGAGCTGGCCCACCCAGCGTCCCTCCCCAGGCAGCTCCCCTGGCTACTTGGAAGACACTTGAAGGGGGTGGTGGCATGTCCCCTTGCTCTGCTCTGCTCAGCCCCGTGCCCTGAGGGGACTTCCGTGGGCTTTCTGGAGAGGGAAAGCACCTTCCTGGTTCTCAAGCCCCTCGGTCACAGGCGGTGACAGCTTTGGAAGGGTGTTGGTGGACTGGGGTCCCGGGGGTGTGGCTGGGGGGAACGGCCTGGGCCAGGAAGCCGGGAGACTGAGTCTGACCTGCCACATGACCCCAGGGTCATCACCTTGCTCCTTGGGCCATCCATGAAGTGGAGGGAAATGGCACCCATGTCCACCTAGTGCCATACCTCTAAGTGACCTGTCCCCGAGCTCGAGAGGTCACCCTCCCTGACCCAGAGGGGCTCCGTCCGTGTCTTCCCAGTCTCCTCTCCCCCAGTCCCGCGCCTGGCCCCCATCCCCCGCTCTCCTCTGGCCTCCTCGCCTGCCCCTGGCCCAGCCCCGCACGCCGGGCAGCGTCCCTGGGCAGCACAGTAAAGACGACTGATTTCGGTATCAGTTTGTAAACTTTAAGGAAAATGTGTCTTGTTTTCCTGTCCGTTATTGTCGGTGTTGGTTGGTTCACAGTCAGGTGGTGGTCAGGTGTGTGCGTGGTGCGTGCGTGCGGGTGTGCGTGTGCGTCCACTCCTCCGCCTGGGCCGTCCGCCCCTGCCCGCCCGGCCCCCGGGGCCCTACCCCGGAGCGCCCTGGCCCTCCCCCTGCAGCCTCACCAGGGAGGAGAGGGTCACAGCTTCTGCTGGGCCGAGACCCCCTTCCAGTAATCCAGGATGTCGTGCAGGTCCTCGTCCTTGGCGAACTGGACCTTCTTGCGCAGGGCGTGGCCGGCGGCCATGTACACCTCCTCGCGGTGGTGCTTCTTGTAGGGCCGGAAGCGCTCCCAGATCTTGTGCGTGCTCTCGGACGAGTACTCGGGGCTGGAGGAGTACCCTGAGTAGTAGTGTCTGGGGGACAGCTGGGAGTAGGTGGAGTCGCGCTTGGAGCGGGTCAGCGGCTTGAGGAAGGACACGCGCTGGCTCAGGCTGTCGGCGCCCTCCTCGTAGTAGAGGGCGGGGAAGCTGTGCCGGTGCTCGCTGCAGTGGTAGGCGGGCTTCACCTCCAGGTGGTGGATGCCCCCGCCCCCGCCGCTGCCCCCGCTGCTGCCCGCGGGCACCAGCGGGAGCCGGTCCAGCGGGCTGTTGAGGGGGCTGCCCTTCTCGATGTACTTGGAGTCGCCCTTGGCCAGCCCCGGGGCGGCCGGGTGGTCGGGCACGTCCAGGCTGAAGACTTTGGCGCTCTTGATGGAGCCGCTGGACGACACGCTGCAGGTCTTGCGGGTGACCGCGGCGTCGGCGCTGAGCTGGCGCTGCAGCGGATGGTGGGAGCTCTCCTTGTAGGGGGGAGAGAGGAAGCCGGGCCGCTCCAGCGCCCCAGGGGCGGTGGCCGTGGAGGTGGTGGCGGCTGGAGGGAGGGACTGGCACTCGAAGGCCAGCTCAGGGTCCCCGCCACCACTGCCAGCCCCCAGGAAAGAGGCCGAGTCCAGCTTGAGGGCATCAATACAGTTGTTGATGATCTGGTTGACCTTGTCCACCTCCTTGGCGATGGTGGAGATCTCGGCGGCCGAGCCCTGGCCGTTTTCCAGCTCCGGGAGGTCATCCTCTGGACGGGCCAGGCCGTCCCCCCCTGCCCCTGTGCGCACCTCGATATAGTTGCCTTTGGTGGCCACCTTGGGTGTGTCCAGCCCGGCCTCCAGTCCCTTGGAGGCAGGCAGCTTCTCTCCAATCATGGAGGGGATGGAGGACATGCGGGCCACGGGCAGCACGGGGGGCTCGCCCAGCTTCTGGGCGGCGTGGACGATGGAGCCGGCGTCCACGTCGGCCCCGTAGCGCATCTCCAGGATGGTCTTCTTGACATTGACGGACTTCTGCTTCTCCTCCTGCAGGCGCCGCCTGCGCAGGCAGTAGTAGACGGCGCCCAGCACGATGACCATGCCGAAGAGGCAGCCCAGGATGGTCATGATGTAGTGGGTGGTGGTGGAGGTGCTGGGCGCCAGGTCCCCGGGCACCGGGTCCCTCGTGGTGAAGGTCAGGCAGGTGTGGTTGAAGCGGCGGCTGTTGCGCAGCGAGGTCACGCAGAAGGTGTACTCGGTGTGCGCCCGCAGCTTGTCCAGCGTCACGATCTCCTTCTTGTTCTTGAGCGTCATGACGTCCGAGAAGTAGCTGCTGTTGTACTGGACCAGGACGTACATCTTGCTGTAGGGGTGTGGGATGATGACCACCAGGGTGGCCGAGGTGAAGGTGACGTGGTGCAGCTTGATGGCGGGCCCCGCGGAGGCGTCTGTGGTGGACGAGGCCGGCGGCTCCACCGAGAGGATCTCGTCGGGGTTGAAGCCCGAGTTCTCGTCGGGCTCCCTCTGGGCGTCGGTGGAGTAGGGCGTGGGGTGGCTCTGGGGCCGGGCGGGCAGCGAGCCGTTGCGGCACTTGGCCTGCAGGACGGTGATGGCGTTGAGGCTGTGGTAGGGCCGGGGCACGAGCAGCGGGTAGCCTGCGAACTCCCTGGGCGACTCGCACTGCAGCCGGTCATAGTTCTTGGTGACGTTGTTGAAGACGACGAGCCAGGCGAGGAAGCCGAAGAGGTCGCACTCGCAGTTGAAGGGGTTGCCGGCCAGCTCGCACACCATCAGGCTGGCCAGGCTGGCGAAGGTGGCGCCGTCCAGGCGGCTGAGGCGGTTGGAGGACAGGTCGATGCTGATGAGGCTCGGGCACTCGGAGAAGGCGGTGGGCGTCACCACCTCGATGAGGTTGTGCTGCACGAAGAGGAACTGCAGGCGGCCCATGCCGCGCAGCATGCCCTCGGTCAGGTTGCTCAGCCGGTTGTAGCCCAGCTGCAGCACCTGCAGGCTGGACTGGCCCAGGAAGGCGCCGTCCTCGATGTAGGAGATCTCGTTCTTGGTCAGGTTGAGGTCGGTGAGGTTCCCGAAGCGGTTGAGCGAGGAGTAGAGCACGGCCTTGAGCTTGTTCTCGTTGAGCCGCAGGTCGTGCACCGTGCTGTTGATGTGCTGCGGGATGGTCTCGTAGGGCGGCTGGTTCTGGCTGCAGATGGCCAGCCACACGTAGCCCTTGTCCCCCTCGATGAGCCAGCAGTCGGCACGCACGGCCCCCGGCCCGCACACGCAGAGCAGCGCGGCCGCGCACAGCCCCAGGCGCAGCATGGCGCGGGCCTCGGAGGGCTGAGCGGAGGGCCAAGCTGGGGTGCCTAGCGGCCAGAGGCTGGGGCTGGCGGCACAGTCCTCCCGGGGGCCGCCACCATCTTGGGGGCGACCCCCAGCGTGGGGGCCCCAGGCAAGGTGGGCACGGCGGGTGCCAACAGCTGGGCCGGGGAGCTACCAGCAGGCAGGGGGCCTGGCCAGGGTGCGGGCACCCAGAGCCTGCTGCTGGCCGGCTCCTGGCCTCCGGGTGGGAAGGACCACGGCTCTCGGCCTCGACTTGCTCCTCCTCCTCCTCCTCCTCTTCCTCCTCAGGTTCTGGGCTCAGAACTTCAGAAGATCCCCACAGGAGACTGGAGAGCGGCACCAAGGGCACAAGAGACGGGGTCAGGAGGGAAGCGCCCCATCGGTCACCTGGTTCCTGAAAGGCAGCACCCAGAGGGTGACCGATCAGTGCCAGGGCCCAGACGAGCCCCATCGGGAGCTCCAGTGCAGATCCCCTCCCCGGGCCTCCGTGACAAGGAGGACCCAGGGTCCCCACCACGTAAAGGGAGGGAGGGCTGGTGAGTGGCAGGAGGGGGAGGGGTCCTCGGAGAGCAGGAGGTGGGGACTCGGGGTCCGGCAGGGCAGTCTGAGGCCCGAGGACAGAGGAGGAGCCGGGACAGGACGGGGACACAGGCCCACTCTCCCGCGCACGCCAGCCCGGTGCACACACTCACCTGCCGGCTGCACAGTGACCCCCACATGAGCCGGAACCCCACGGCACACACACGTGGACAGGGACACACGCTCACAAGCACACCTGCCATCTGTGCCCACGACAGACAGGCTGCACACACAGGGCACGTACCCAAGTGGGCACCCCCAAATCCGGATAAAGAATTAAGAAGCCCAGCAAAACGCCTCCCGTCTCCAGGCCCAAAGATAAATAATTCATTTGTTGTGTAACTGCTCTTGTTCCAAAAATAATTCCCTTGTCTCAGCTTCCGTGGGGGAGGGGAGCAGCCTGTGGCGGCCGTGGCGCCCCCCTGCACAGGGGGATCAGAGGCCGGGGGTCTCCACAGGGGAAGGCCCACCCTCCAGGCAGAGCCCAGCCAAAAGAAGGGGGCAGGAGCCAGGGAACTCAGAGACCTGCCCAGTGTCACCCCCACACTGCCCTCCAGATCACCCTGATCCCAAAGGGGGATCCCCAGGCCTCTGGAACAGCATGGCCACAGCCCCTTGGTGGCTGTGGGCCCAGAGGCTCAGAGAGGCAAGGACTTTCCCCAAGTAACACAGCGCAGCCAGGGTCAGGTCAAGGTCCCAGAGGCATTGAGCCCCGGCCAGCAGTCAGGGCCCCCACAGGCAGCCTTGCCGGCCAGTGAACCATGGCCTCTCTATCTCCACCTCCATAGAGCGGGCCTAGGTCTCCCCGGCTCTTGGACGGAAGGACAAGGTGACTCCTGCTACCCTCGCCCACCATAAAGGGCAGGGAAGGTGGCCCGGGGGCCACGGCCTTGGGGCGTCTGAGTCAACGCTCGCTCTCCACGTGGGGAAACTGAGGCCTGGGCCCAGGGAGGCCTGGCCAGGTCACCAGCAAGCTGGACACAGCCCTCAGCCAGGCCGGCTCCCTCTGCCCCAGACTGGAGGCAGCGTCCCCCGCTCCGCGCAGCAGGGCCCAGGATGTAAAGACAAGGCCACGGACACCCAGGTTTGGACAGAGCCAGAGCCACCTCCGCCTCCTCCCCCGGGAAGCGCCAGGAGGAGCTTAGAAAAAACACTTGGCCATCAAAGCCAGGCCAGCTCACGGCCTGGGCCCAGGGCCGGCAGGAGAGGGGACGGCCACAGGGCCCAGAGGGGGCTGAGCAGGGTCCTAGCTGGTGCTGTGTCAGAGGCTAGGAGGAACAGGACATCTGAGGCCACCTCACACCCCCTATCCCCTGCAGGGCCAGCCCGCGGTGTCACCAGGCCTCCAGGCAGGCAGGGGGTGCCGGGCGGTGGACAGCTTTCCTGTCCTTGGCCAGGCCCCACCAAGGTCTCAGGGCTGGTGAGACCTGCTCCTGCACAGTGCGGCTCCCAAGGGACCCCAGACCCGTGCTGTCCCCTCTGGGTCTCCGTCCCCTCCCGCAGGCAGATGGCTGTACTAGGAGCCAGTCCCCAAGCCCGCTGCCTCAGGGCCCAGCAGCCGCCTGTCAGAGAGCCCTCCACACACTCCCTCCTCTCGCCTGGGGACGCCTGGGGACCGCATTGGTATGCAGGTGCACACGCAGGTGCGCGGCTGCTCCGGCACTGGCGCAGGGCGTGCTGACGCGCACAGACGCAGGATGGGCAGGGGCGCAGGAGCACACGCGTGTGCACCAGGCCTGCGTGCGGTGGTCAGCCCAGGAGAGCGTGGGTGGGGTTGGAGGTGTGCACGGACCCCGGGAACCGTGCAGACACCTGCCCTCATGCCAGCCAGCAAAGCACGTGTGCGCCCGCATGCCCGTGTGCGCCGCCCGCTCCAGCCAGAGCCCCTCCACCCCCGTCCACACGGCTCCAAGGGCACTGCCCGGCCAGGTCCAGGCAGGGAGGGCTGAGGGGAGGCCGCGGGTCCTGCCCTGGCCTCCCCCGGCGCCCAGCCAGACTCTGAGCTCTGCCCCTGAGCCCTCAAGGTGACCCTGTCCCCTGCTCTTCCTGGTCTCCAGGATGGCCCGGGCCAGGCCCAGCCCCCACCCTCCCCGTGACTCAGAGCTGGAGAGGCCCCATCGCCCCGTGCGTCCGCCAGCCTGTCCCCCCTGGGCTGCCTGCCCACCGCCCGTGAGGCCTGAGACAGCCAGAGAGGGGGACAAGAGGCCAAAAAGGCACTGATGCGGCCCCTGGTCCCCCGCCAGCTGTGCCCCCTCGAGGTGCGGAGTACAGCGGGGGAGGGGTGCTGGTCATCCAGGGCCAAGGTCCCCAGGGCCTACAGGCAAGGTCAGGCCCTCCCACCCCTCCATGAAGCAGCCCTCTGACACACGCACTGCGGGGGGGGGGGGGGCTGAAGCTGAACACATCTGGGGCTGGGGGGCAGCGGGGAGGGGCGAGGTGGGGAAGGAGCGGAGCAAAACAAGACAGCCAGCAGGCAGACAGCAAGAGGGACCGGAAGGTGTGCGTATGAGCCAGAGGAAGGGAGTCGGGGAGACAGGTGACAAGCACGAGTGAAGGAGGAGACCCAGGCACCTGCGCCTACCTCCTGGGGCCAGGGAGACGGACGACTAGGCCTGGCTGAGTCCTTAAAACGCAGCCAGTGGCCGGTAGGAGGGAGAAGGGAGGTGACAGGAAGCAGCTGCCAGGGTGCCCAGGGCCATCAAGGTGCCACACCCTGGGGCAGCAGCCTGGGTGGGGGATGTGGCCACAGGCAGCTCAGGCAGATGGCACTGCCAGACCAGGGCAGGACAGCTGTGAGCCATGCCCCCAGCAGCTACGGCACGCGATGGCCTCCCCGGGGCACACCATGGCCTCCCCGGGCACCTGCAGACGGGAAGGGGAGCCAGAGAGACCAGCAAGGGCGGCTGCCCGAGGGGCAGGGCAGAGCAGGGACAGTCGGGGCCACGTGGGCACAGGACTGCCCTCCCGGCTCAGGCTGGTCTTCAGGTGACCCAGGTGGGGTGTCCCTGCCCGGCAGGTGCCACAGGTTCCGGGCCCCTCTGGGGATCCGGAGCCCTGAGCCTCGGAGCCAGACCTGGAGCCCCTGTGGCCTGTCCAGCTGCTCTCGGAGGTCAGCAGGGGCCCCTCTGAGCCCATCCCCCTTCAGAGTGACAAGGCAGGTGCCGCCCACACACTCCAGGGAATGGGGACACCACAGACAGCCCACCAGTGGGCCCCCTGGACTCCTGCTCCCGTGGGACCCTGGGGACCTGTTGGGGGAGGTGCCGTCCACGGCCTGGACTCCCAGGAGCAGGACCCTGGGGCCTGGGAAGCCTCATCCTCCCTGGGCCTGGCCCAGGCTCCCTGAGGTGCCACTGTCACCGCCCGTGTCGATGTGCTACCTAGGGCAGGGGGACAGGGACAGCTGGGACCCGGCCAGAACCCTGGATGGCCACCTCGACTCTCTCTGCCGGGCCCGAGTTGGGCTGCCCAGGGCCACAGGCTGGGACCCCCTTGGGCAGGGACTCGGGCAGGGACCCTGGGTCTCCCCACTGACCCCCTACAGGGCTCCTGGGGAGGCTCCCGGGCCTCAGCCCTTATCAGGAAGGAGGACGCTGCACCTTCACTACTCAACTGCTCTGTGCTGAGTTACCACCTGGATTTCAGGTGCAGTGAGCTCCAGCTGCAGGGGACAAGAAAAGCAGGGATGGTCAGGCCAAAGGCGCTGGGACTGAATGCTGAGCTGCCTGACGCGGCCACACCAACTGGCCTCTCTGGGCTTCGTCTCCAGTCACAGGGTGCCTTTCCCAGGGGCTTGTTTGTGATGGGCCTCGAGGCTGCGTCAACCCTGCTTGGCTGGGGCTGTGAGTCTCGTTTTACAGACGACAAAACAGTTTCTGTCCTTCCCCAGCTTCCTCCCGAAGGCTGGGCTCACAGCTCACATGCTCTGGTCATCTGGTGAGTTTCCTGCCCGGTGTACATAGGCACCTCCCTTCCGCTCAGAGGAAAGTGTGCACAAGCCTCAAGGGGCTAATTCCTGCACCAACCACAAGTACTCATTCCAGGTGGGGTGCACTCAACCCTAGGCCCGCTCCCACCTCAGGACCTTTGCACACACTGTCCTCGCTCCTGGAATGTCCTTCCCCCAACAACCCCACAGCCCTCACCTCACTGGGGCCTCTGCTCAAATGCTCCCACCCCACCCCTACTTTCTCTCACACCGAATCTGAGAGGACTCACTCATCTCTCAGTTCTGGCTTTCGTCCCTCCACAGCCATCAGCACCACCTGACGTCATTCAGGTCTTCATCGTTGCCACCTGCCTTACTCCATGCCCAGAGCAGAAGCAAAGCAGAACTTTATCCCGCTCACTGCTGTAACTTCGTGCCAACAACAGGGTCCACCATCTAGCAGGTGCTGGGTACACGGTGTGTGGAATGAGCGCTCAGGGCCAGGGTGAGGGGGGAGCCGAACCCTGACTCCACGGTCAGGATGTGGAATGTCCAGGGAGGAGCCTGCCACTGATGGGTGCCTCTGGTGAGTCAAGAAACGTGCTGGGTCTTTCTTTTGAGCCCTACCACCCCCCGTGGACGTCTCACTTTACAGACAAGGGAACTGAGGCTCAGAGGTACAGCGACCTGCCCGAGACCCCACAGCCAAGAACCCGGCAGCCTGGGCTCTGGAAACCACCGGACTGTGGGATCCCTGAAGGGACACTCCACCCCTTGCTCACGTCCAGGGACAAGGCTGTCAGCTCTGAGCCTACTGATCCCTCCTGACAGCCCTGATTGGTAGAAACTTCATCCATTACAAAGCCAGCCTGGCTCCCGTGCTCAGGGGTCCTAGCTGCTGTCCCGGGCCACCAGGAGCAAGGCCAGTACTCCTGTCCAGTACCCCCATCCTCAGTCTGTTCGCCCAAGCTGAACAGCCTGCGTCCTCCGCCTTCTCCCCCTGGGCCATGGTGCCAAGCCCCGCCGCCCTGGGGTCCAGCCGGGCCGGGCCAGGCTTTCCGCCCAGGTCCTCCCGGCAGGGTGTCCTGTCTGAGCCGCGATCTGCACGGGGAGCCTGGCCTCCCTCAGCCTGGCTCCCCTTCTGTGAATGCGGCGCAGTGCGCCAGCCGGTGTCCTTACCTTGTCCTAGATGCCAACCACACCCCGGCCCCTGCACACACAGCGCCAGGCAGCAGCGCCCTCAGAGCGTCCTTGGGCAGCGCTGGCCCCGCTGTGAGGTCTCACCCGAGGTGCTGGGTCGCGTCCACCCCCTTCTATCCCGTCCCATTAGCCTCAGCCGCTCGCCGGCTGCTGCGGGTCTCCAGGGAGCTGGGCTCTGCCCCGAGCCTCGGCACCCACCGGCTCTGGCTGCACCCACGTCACGGGGACCCGGACACCAGGCCCGGCTAGGAAGCCAGAAAGCGGCTGGCTCTGGCCTGGGGACATGCCACCTGCCAGCCACAGGCCACCCACCTCACACATTGCCCGGTGCTCAGGGCACACTGCCGGGCGCTGCCCGAGCCACCGTCTGCTCGGAGGGGCCTAGGGACGGCACCCACAGCGGCCAGGCCCAGCTGGAGAGGCCACAGTGTGCTGAGCCTGGGTCCCCACACCCGGAGCCACAGCAGAGTGGGGGCCTGGCGCTGGCTGGCGCACGGTGGGCCACCACGGGAAGGGCACCCTCCAGGGTCAGAGACGCAGCCGTGCCTGTCGCGGTGGCCCTGGGCACAACAGTGCCTCACCTCTCTGGGCCTCAGTTTCCTCATCCGCACAGAGGACAGCAGAAGTGTACGTGGATCCCTGGCTGGCCAGGGCCGCCCACAAGGCCTCTGTCCACTGCCCACTGGGTCCCCCAGACTCATCTGGCCCTTGTGTCCCCTCTGCCTGCTCCCAGGGCATCACGGCCGTCGAGAGCATGGAGTCTCATCCAGGCCCTGGTGGCCAGAGAAGGCTGCAGGGCTTGGGCTCAGCTGAGCACCGCCACAGCCTGTGGGGGGCCCATCCTGATCCGCACGCACCCCGTGCAGGGTCCCCGGCCACCACCGCCAGGCTCAGCCGTGGCTCATTGCCCTCACCAAGGAGGACAGGCGAGGTCACCCAGGTGCCACCCAGGTGCCACCCTGCAGCCTGTGGAGGGGCTGCCTCCCGCCCCTGGGCCCTGGCCTCTCCTCCCAGGACCCTGGCCCACTGCCTGCGCCTCCTGACCCCTGCCCTCTCCCCGATGGCCTTCTCCTCCCCCGCTGGCTGGTGGCCACCCCTGGGCACTACTCACCAGTCTCCACTGGGCCTGCTTTCACCAGTGCCCGCGCCACGGCTGCCTCTGCCTGCATGGCCTCCATTCATTCATTCAATAAACATTTATGGAGCACCTACTGTGTACCAGGCGCCGGCTAGGCCCACCCTCCCAGCTCTGCTCCACCGCCTGCTCCCCCTGCAGGGTCCCCAAGTGGGCGTCTCCCTGCCTCCCACACCCTCGGGCCTGGCCCAAGGCAGCAGCCGTGTGTCTAGGGGCCCCCTGGGGAGAAGTGGAGGCTCCGGGTGGCGGGGTGACCTCAGTGTGGCCAGCTAGGTGGCCCCGCCAGAGGCCGGGCGTGTGGGAGGTTGGGGGCGGGGCCTGGGTGCTTGTCCCTCAATCCCAGGGTCACAACTATTGTGTTCCTACTTTATAGATGAGGAAACGGGGGTCTCCGGCCGCTACGCAGGGGCCGTGGCACAGGCCCGCTCCCCCCGACGGTGACTGGGAGCTACTCTGAGCTAATTGGCACTACTGAAAACTTGGGAGGTTTGATCTTTAAAAGCCCCACTTCTGGAATCCACTGATGACCTTGGAGGACGTGGCTGTCCCCATCTCCATCTCTGCAGGACGGAGCAGGTAGGGCCATCCTCCTCTTTGGCCCTGGGTGCAGGGGTTTGTGAGGTCAGCAAGAGGGACCTCGGAGTGGACACACTCAGACTCTCCACCCATTGGAGGAGGCCTGGGACCTGAGGGCCTCCTTCCTGAGCCCCTGGCCTGCCTGGCTGTGACTCTGAGCTCCGTTGGACCTTGTCATCCTGGGGGGTCTCTATGATGAGCCAGATTCAAGTGCTCTAGGGTCGACCTCAAGGTCAGTTGAGTCCCGGCCTCTGTGGGACTTGGCGTTGCCCCGACCTGCCCTCGCCCCTCTTGGCTCTGAGCAGGCCCCCGGGAAGAATCCCAAGCCAGGGCCACCTACAGTGGCCAGGAGGTGGACCAGGCAGTTTCTCCTGGGCTGCGGTGTGAAGTTGGGTCCCTGCTGGACACGGCTCCCCAGGCTTCCTGTCAAGGCTGCAGGAACTCCAGGAGGCCCGAGGCCTGGCTCCTCCACAGAGCCTGTACCAAAGTGTCCCCGGGCACTGCTCACCTGACCTGCTGGCTACCACCTGGCCCCACCCTCTCGAGGCCATTGGTCAGGCCGAGAAACCCTGCCCAGGGCCAAAGCCCACCCGCTTTCTGTCTCCTCCTCCCAGGTGGTCACTGGGGCCAGCACAGGCGCTGCCCTGGAGGGTCCCATACACTCTCCTGGCCCTGAAACCAGCTTCTCTGGGGCGGGCGGGCGGGGGCGGCCAGCCCTGCTGAAGGGCACCCGGGCCAGCCTGGGGGTGGGGGCTGCAGCTGTGGCTCAGAGAACAAGGAGGCTCTGTCAGGGCCTCGTGCTGTGGGGGACAGGGCCCGGAAGCATAGGAGGGCCACGGTGACTGTGGTGACTGCTGGCTGGACAGAGCCCGAGGCCGGGATGATGACAGCTCCCACCTGCACCAACTCAGGTGGCCCCTCCAGCAGGACCTGTCCTCTCTCACCTTCTCCTGGAAGGGCAGGGGTTACGTCCAGCTCACCCAACTGAGACCATGGGCCTGGTTAGTTCCCTTTCTTTGAGTCTCAGTTTCCTGTCCTATAAAATGGGACCAGAGGGGCCCTAGCCAGAGGGAGGAGTGGCCGAGCAGGATCTGGCACGTAGTAGCTGCTCAGTTAGCTTGGCAAGCCTGCGGCCCAGGGCCAGGGGCAGCCCTGCGGGGCCTGCAGCAGGGCCACATTGCCCATATTCTTACAATGACAGCAAGAAAGGGGGGACCTGGCCCTGAGCATGGCACCCTCCGGTCCTGGGGGCAGGGCACCCCTCTCTGCCTCTGACCCTGCCCTTTCTCAGAGGCCAGGCCCACAGAGGCCTGCTGCCTTCAGCCTGTCCCCGGCCTCGGTTCTCTCTCCCACTGCCAAAGCACAATGGCTGTTATAATTAATGGATTATCTCAGCGCGACAGCTGTGGTCCTTTGAAAATTAGGTTGAATAACAAGATCCTGATGTACGGTGATTCCTTTTCATCTCTCCCTGCCTTCAGCCGCGTTATGCATGCGAACAGACACCGGCCCCTCCTGGCCTCTTCTCCTCGGCTGGACTGGGTTCTGCTGGACTAAGGCCTGGCACCTTCCCCGGGCAATGCTCCCTGGCGGGGCTGGGGACGCGCTCCCTGGCTTCCCCACCCTCTGGGCCCAAGCAGCAGCCTGGCTGAGGGGCTCCCGGCTGTGGCCTCCTCCAACCCGCACCCCCCACAACCTCCTGCCCTCCCAAGCTGAAATCCCCTGGCCCAGCTGCCCCTGGAGCTCCCCTCAAACAGGGTCCCAACGTCCCACCCCGGGCCTGCCTGCTCCTCTCCACGCTCGGTCCCAGCAAGGGACATGCCAGCACCCAGCTGCCACTCCTGGGAGTCTCTGTGCCCACCGTGCCCACTGCTCCTGTCCTGGTCCCTCTCCCCCCCGCCGGCACCCTCATGGGTCTCTGTGCCTCTGATCCTGAGGCCTCCACCCCCAACCTAGCAGAGAAAGAGCTTTCTAGAATGTCAGTCTGAGCGGGACACCCCCTGCTGGCCGGGGACAATTCCAAGGGCATCCAGAGCCAGCTCTCCTGGTGAGGGTCTCCCTGGGGGCACCCCAGCCCCCAGCCTTCCTCCATCTCCTCCAGAACCCTGACGGCTGCTCCCCTGGACGGAGTCCGCCCAGGCAGGGCCCTGCCTCTCCACAGCCCAGCACCAGGTCCCGTAGGTGCCCAATAAACATCTGCTAATGAGTGAATGGACAGGCCACCTGCCCTGTGAAGAAACCGAGGCTCAGGTGACCCCTGGCTCGTTCCCTTCACACGCAGGAGCAAGTGAGGCTTGGAACCCGGCTCTGGGGCTTCAGTGCCACTCGGTCCCTTCCATCCCTGGTGACAGCCGTGGACGTCAGCTTCCACACAGGGCTCGGGAGCGGGAACCTCCCTCCAGCCTCAGGTGGATGTCCAGGAGACAGGGTCCCAGCCTGGGCTGCTGTCCCTTGAGTTGAACTAGCACGTGACCCTCAGCCTCAGTCTGCTCATCTGTACAGTAGGAAGGAGCCACCTGACCGCCCTCGGAGGGCCACAGGGCACACACTCGGGTCCTGCTGAGGACTCTGGGGACCTCTCTACCTTGACCTCCAAACCCGGCTGTGCTTCCCTTGAGCCCCCCGACCCCAAGCTTGGGGTGGGCAGGAGGGAGAGGCCCCTACATCAGAGATCCCCCACAAGAGGTCATGGAGAAGCGTGGGTGGCCCCCTTCCTGAGCCTTGGTGGATGGGGCCCATTAATGCCCACCTTACGGGGCCTCAGTGAGGACGCAGGGCCCCCGCAGCCACTCGACTGCCAGGCTCTGCGGAGCGAGACCCCGAAGTGCTCCCAGGAGAGGAGAAGGGTGTGGCCGAGCAGGACCACCTGCTCCTGAGTGTCCCTCTGAAGCCCACCAGGCTGCCACTGCCCCAGGAGGGAGCTCGCACCCAGCACGTGGCCTCCACCCCTCGCCCTCTCTAAGCTCACTCTGTGGGTCCCCCATCCCCCTGTGAAGTCCCAGGGGTGCCCAGCTGCACGTCCTCCAGGCCTGGAGGTCATCTCTCCCTGTCCCCGTCCCCCAGGGCCCAGACCTAGCTTCTCCTGGGAGCAGCCTCCGGGGGTCCCTTCTGCAGCCACAGCGCTGGCTCCCTGCTCTGCCCGCCCCCTGGGCCTGGCCCGTGGAGTCCTGGGAGGTCCTAGAAGTCATCTCGCCCACCTCTCCTCCCTGTACTTCCCGAGGGGGGACGCGGAGCCCAGGAGGAGCAGAGGTCCCCAGGGAGGCCCTGGGCCCCGTCCCTGCGGCTCCAGCCTCCTGCACTCCTCCGTGCTGAGCTGAGCTGGGGAGCCCTGCCTGTCTCTGCACGCCCCCTCCAAACTCCCTGAGGACGGGACCCCCTCTCTGCACCCCCCCAGTGCCTAGCCTAGGGCCTGGCGCATAGTAGGCACTCAGTAAATGTCTGTTGAATTGAATTGCGCTCAGGGTGGCCAGTCGTCTCTGCTCTGGAAGAGAAGCACACAGTTAGTGGAACTGTCCCCAAGGCGACCAAGGGGCAGGGGCCACACTGAGGGAGTGAGGAGCCCCACCTACCCCAAGGACCCCGCAGGCCCTGGGGAGGGGGCCTGGGAAGAGAGCGCATTCAGACTTGGAGGAGCCGGATTCTGCCCCAAGGCAGCGGGGCCCTGGTGACACATGCCGTCCCTAAGGCCTCTCTGGCCTCAGCTGTCAAATGCAGACAGCATCCCAGTCCCCCAGGCTCTAGGACCACTTGTGACGAGGACCACAGAGAGGTGAGTGTGCACAGTGACTCCCGGCTCACAGCACTGAGGACGGGGTGGGGGTCCGCCCGCTCTACAGATGAGGAAACTGAGGCTTGCAGAGACCACGCAGCCCCCGCCCCGACCCCTTGCCAGGTGCCCGGTCTCCCTGCAGAGCTGGCGGGAAGCAAGGCGCGGTGCCACAGCAAACTGCAGAGACGCTGCGCCCACCAGAGGGTGACCACGCCCAGCCCAGGTTGGCCAAGAGCCCAGCGTGAGCCCCGCAGCCGGGAAGGGGCAGCTGAGAAGCCAGGTCCACCCCTCCCGTGGGACTGAGCTCTGGTTCCGCAGCCCCCCCGGCGGGTTCAAAGCCGTCCTCAGATCTGAGGCTGCCAAGGCGGGAGCAGGCCCTGTGCTAATCTAGATCAGTGGGGACTATAAATACTCAGGCGGGCGGGCGCCCGGGCGGCCTGGGCAGCGTGAGGCGGGGGCTCAGCCCCGGCCCTGCCACGGCCCCCCCTCGGGCCCTCTGTGCTCTGACCGCGACGGCTGAGATGGTTCGCCAGACAACGCAGCGCTCCGGGCCCCGCAGATGGCCACGTGGGAGGCCATCAGGGCCCAGGCCAGGGACCTGGCGAGGACAAGAGAAGAGGGATCTCCCTGGCTCTCCCGGGGCCAGCGAGGGTGGGACCTGGCCACGGCCTGCTCACTGGCCAGAGCCGTGGGCCGGAAGGCACCAGCTCACCCGCTTCTTCACCCCCTGGAGCCGAGAGCTGGAGGCCAGCAGGCCGGCCTCGGAGAGGGCTCTGGGCCACAGGACGTGAGCCAGCGCTGCAGGCCTGCCCCACTGGGCCGGCCCCCACCCAGCTTGAGGACCAGTGGCTGATCTCACATCTGTATGTGCTGGAGCACGGCTTCATGGAGGGCAGGACCGGCGGGCAGTGCGAGCCACCCGGAGACCAGGCCCCACCAGAGCGCGGAGCTGAAGGGAGGAGCGCAGAGCCCCGGAGGGAGGGCCGTCAGACGTGGCCAGCAAGGAGCCCTGACCGGGCAGGCCCCGCACAGCTCCCACAGGCCGCCACACCTGGGGAGGACGAGGGTCACAGCTAGAGCGGCCCGACCCCCACGGCTCCCCCGTCCAGGGCGGGGAGATGACCCCATTCTCAGCATCGCCACAGGGACAACGTGGGCGCGCCTGGGCACAGGGGAGGGCCAGCGCCGTGGCCTCCACCCCAGGGCAGGGTGCAGACCTGGCTCTGGGGACCTGGTGGCCTGGGCGTGTTCGGCCCTCTCGGAGCCCAGTGTCCCCAGGACCCATCCCCTTCGCCTCAGGCAACTGCTGCTCGGAGCCAAGGGCCTGGGAGAGACCGCGTCCACTGGGGAGCGCCGTCCACGGTCAAGGACGTTCGTTTCTTCCCCTGAGCTTCCCTGGCCCTCGATCCTGACCCCACCCTCTTTTCTAAAGGGGCCGTCGCGGCCCACCCTGCGTGAAGGGCTCGGCCCCCTGCGTCCTCAGGGTCCGGGGAGCTGGCTGTGGTTTGCAGACCCGACCTGCGGATGAGGAGAGGGACGCACAGGTGAAGTGACCGGCCCCACACCACCCCCAGGCAACGAGCGCTCTCGGCCGCGGCTCAGGAGCCCAGCGTCTGGACCCTCTGCTCCTGGCCAGGCCCCTGCTCCTCCCACTCATCCGACTCCCATCGGAATGCAGTATCCATATTCCATCCCGGCAGCTCGCCCCCCCAGGGCCTCGGGGGCCATTAATCATTCAGACACACCTGCGGATTCATTAACTTCCGAATTAATCCAGGGCCCTCATTACCACGGGCCTGCTGCCTACATTAAAGACGCTCCTTATTAAACTCCCCTGATAAACGACCACAT